TTGAGTAGTGGGATTTGTAGTGTAATGGAGAAGCAAATTTACTCTCAGCAATAATATTAAAAATTGTCTTAAATAAGTAATGAAGTTCTTCTGTCACGCCAGGTATTTAAAGCCAGTAATAATTAAAATGAGGTGTCTCTGATACAAAAAGATACACTTTGGTAATTGGAATAATACAAATAAATTATAATTTATGTACTCTAAAGATGACATGACAAACTCATGTGAAAAAATGAAGGTTGTTAAATAGATAATTTGCTTAACCAAAATAAAAAAAATTAGAAAAAATGAACTTTGATGTAAGACTATATCAAATAAAATACTATATATAAATAAACCATTAAGTATATTTTAAGTGATAAGTAGAATGACATGTATCAGATATCTGAAAAAGAAAGCTAAGTATTATACTTGCAAAAAACACAGAACAGTTAAAAAAATGAATAACCATGTTTTGTTATATACAATTTTAGTCTTTAGTATCTCAATAAGGGACACATTATATAATAACAAAACCATTTGACCAAGAGTTATTCTTGAGAAAAAGATAAATAATGTCATTTGATTGCTTATATTGTGTTATCCTAATTATTTCTCATTCTAATTAAAATTCCAGTTCATAAATTATCAGGCCAAAATGAAAAAAGTTCACCCAAATTCCAAATAGTAGACAAGATGTAAAAAAATGCCAAACCCAGCTGTTATCAAAGAAAGGTGAAAACTGTGGAATACTACTCAGCCAGGAAAAGAATGAAATCCTGTCTTTCACACCAAAATGTATGCATCTGGAGACCACCATGTTTAGTGAAATAAATCAGTCCCAAGTGACAAACATGATATATTTTCTCTGATTTGTGGTAGCTAATATGTAGAGTACAAAAAATGTAATGTATATGAGCAAAATTGACATTTTGAGATTTGGTTATTGTTTATAGCCATTGTGTATACTCTTGAAGAAAAGTGGTTTTTCTATTTAAAAATAAAGTTTTATTAAATTACCAAAATATTAAATGATAGCGTGTCTGTATGCCTTGCTATTCCCCTTTCAAGATGAAGCAATTATTTTTTAAAATAATTTCACAATGTGCGCTAAGCAATAAAATTTATATGCTATTTAAGCAAGGTGATCAACTTCCGAAATTTTATTCTAAAGAAATAATTCAAAATCATTTTAAAGTCTCTGTGTAAGAAGATATATATCACTCATTTATTTATAATAATAAAAATATTTAAACTCGAGGTAAGTGAACTGTCAGGGTAATAATCCCATCATCAAAAAATGAAGCCATTAACAAATAAATTAATGAAGATTTGTAGAAGAATGAAAAAGGCTATTTTTGTAACTATAATAAAATACCTGCAGTAGGCTAACACTTCAAAGAAAAGAGGTTTATTCTGACCCACAATTCTGTAGGTAAAATGTCTTGTCTGGTGATGGCCCTCTTGCAGAGTAAGTCCCAAGTGGCACATGGCGTCACATGACAAGACACAGGGAGTGAGTGTCCGTATTTGGGTAGAAGACCTGTAGTCGCTCTCCCTCTTTATGTAAAGCCACCGCCAGAATGCAGTCATGGGGGCTCCACCCCCCTGATTTTTATCTAATCCTGATCCCTTTTCAAAGGCTTCATCTCAAAACACCACCACTGGATTAAGTCCTCCCTTTTATTGCTTCACCATAGGGAATATATTCCAACACCTGCAGCTTTACAGACACTCAAGCCCTGTGCAAAACACAGCAAAGGCTAATGTCATAATACAAAGCAAAAAAGCCTGCATCATTTTATGTGAGTACAGGGAAATACTTATACACAAATGACTAGAAGAAAGCATATAAAGGTATTGTTTTTTAAATTGGGATTAAAAAAACTATGGATGAGATTGTCTTGTTTCTCTAATTTCTAAATGCATCCTCCCACTACATCAGCTTTAGAGACATTCACCTGAGTGGGATGAAAACGTTAAATTTCTCCTCTAAATTTCATAGCATCCCTAAATCTTTTAATATTAGAAACAACCACCCCAGACATTGAGGATAAATGGCATGTTTACCCTACTTAAGTCAGAGAATTGGGATTTTAGTTATGAAATGATTTCAGAGGCACTGTTATCTCCAGCTTTATCTATACATCTTTTAAAGATGATTTGACCTATAAAAAAGAGTAAAACCTCTTAAGATTAATCAGGGAATCTAAATTTGAAAGCTTAAAAATTTGCTTTTTAGTGAAACCTTATTATCTGCAAGAAAGAAAAAGGTATTATTTCAGAACCTTTCCCAGTGGTTGATAGTCTAAAAGATGTGCTGAGTTTTTTTCAAAATACCACTTTTCAACATTGGATCACTACTTTACCAAAATTCAAAGGTTATAGGAATGAAAAAAATCACTGTTTCCTATCTTAGAATTTCTGTTCAATATGCAGCTGCATAAACCAAAGGGACTCTACTGATGTGTCCTCCAGCAGTGTTTATGCAGATGGCAGAGTACAAACACTTTGTTAGCAATGCACAAACACACCGTAGCTTCATGACAGGGAATAATGTGGATCATAATTAGCAGGCCTGTGCTCCTTGAGTGGGACGCAGGAAAAAGCTGCAGCATAGAAATAAGGTGGAATCACATGCTTGTAAGAAACAGCTCAATGGGTATCCAGCTGGATCTGTCCATTTTACAGGGAGGCTGCACGTCCATTTTTGGCTAAGATGAATGTTATTATAAAGCTCTTTGTCTCACTTCTCCAAGATAGAATGAAGCAGGGCAGTGGATGTGAGGCAGAGGGACTTTTTGTTTGAACTCCATAGGCGTTAGTCTGGTTTGTTGTAGAAAACAGAACTTGGAGTAACCCAGCTGCTGGGGGTCTGAACAAACTATGTGCACTCTTGCTGATTGGTTGACTGGGCTATGTTATCAGCTGAAAGGGCTGCTCAGCCCACTAGAAACCTGTCAACAGAATAGTGCTCACGGGACATCCCACTCAGTTCTGTGGCTCCATCTTCCTCTTTTCTCAAAGTGACCCAGTTTTCCAGGTATAGGGGGATCAGAAAATGGTTTAAAGCATCAAGCTCTTACGCAGAGAGGCAAGCCAAAGGGATCTAGAAGAAAACAGTTTTCATCTGCCTATCAATGGAGGCCCTATGTTTGTGCCTATTCATCAGAGCATCACCAAATCTTGGAAGGTATTTAGAAAAGTTGAATGAAATCTTTGTTCTTTTCTGTCATTCTTATATTAAAACATTGACCAGTGGGGCAAGCATTTGCCTTAGGGGTTAAGATGCCTATGTCCTGTGTCAGTGTGCTTGGGTTGGATAACTGGCTCCTGCTTCCAGCTTCCTGCCAATGCAGACCCCAGAAGGCAACAGTGATGGGTCAAGTGGTGGGGTTCCTGAAATCCACATGGACATCTGGATTGAGTTCCAGACTCCTGACTTTGCCTTGGCTCGACCCCGGCTATCATGGGCATTTAAGGAGTGAACAAGCAGATGGGAACTTTCTCTCTCTCTCTCTCTCTCTCTCTGTCTCTCAACTATATAAAATTTTTCATTAAGGATGATTATATAGAAAAAAATTGTCAATTCTTTCCATTATTTTGTTACTAGTCTTGTGATTTAGGCTACATTCATAATTAGCAGTTAAGGCAATTTCTTAGTAGAATCAGGATCTGGTAATGGTCCATGGGTGATGACCCATGGCAGTCATCAGATTGGCTGCTGAAGAGTTGCTCAGCTATTGCAGAATAATTGGTTCTTAAAGCCATGGATGAGTTTAAGCTCAAGCAGTCTCTCTTCCAGCTTTGGAGATGGGAGTGAGATCACTACAAAATAGACATACATACATAATCATCATAAAGTATATACACTATGATTGAAAAGCACAAAGACATCTATCACAGTAAAAATTAAAGAAAATTTTCTAATAAAATTAGAAAATTAAATTCTTTACTCTCATTCTCAAACCTGCTTATTCTCCTTTTGTTTTTTCCTTCTTATTTCTATAACTCTGAGTTATGGGGGTTCCCTACTGGGTACCCAATACCTTGACCCTTTCTTTCATTTCCTTCATCACCTAGGCATCACCATCATTTCTTTCATCACCTAGGCACTTGGCTGCTCGAGGGGCCTTATGGGATTTTTTCGCTCACTGAGATGAGCGTCTAATAATCTCACACATTTGCCAGTACATCACCCCACTTTTTCTTCAGTCTTCCTCAGTCCATAGTGCTGAGAAAGCTGGCTTCCCAAAGCATATTCATTGGCATATTCAAAAGCTGATTCATCACCAACATGGGGTCAGCTTTGGTACAACAGTTAAGATGCCACTTGAAATGTCATTCCATATCAGAGTGTCTGGTTCAAGTTCTGGCTCTGCTTCCAATCCAGCTTCCTGCCAAAGCATCCCTGGGAGGCAGCTGGTGATGGCTCAAGTAATTGTGTCCCTGCCACCCATGTGGGAGAATCGAATTGAGTTCTTGGGTCCTGACTTCAGCATGACCCAGTTCTGACTGTTGTAGTTATTGTGACATTTGTTCCATCAGGCAGATGGAAGATATCTGTCTATTTGCCTGTTTCTGTGTCTCCCTCTGTTTCTCTCTGCCTTTCAAATAAAATTAAAATAAATGAATTTTCTTAAGACTCGTCTTGGAGATTATGCAACCAGACTCCATTAATCTTTTCTCATTTCTTCCCTCTAGGTACTTTTTGCTTGAACAAAAATGTTAACTTACTTCTGCTGAAACTCGCATGATTTCTCAGATTCTTCTCTCTCCACCCCTTCAGCATCATCTTCCCAAAAAAACTTTTCCTAAGCATTGATTCTACATAATCTGACCCATGGCACCACATTTTAGAGCCTACCCCCTTTCATACATGTGTCCTTTGACCTGATAAAGCTAAGAATTTTATAGATGAAAATTATGTCTCTTCCCAAAGTTTGCAGCCCAGTAGCTCAACTCAGTAAACCCTCAAATATTTGATCAATTCCTGATGCTCTTTTCCTTTGCTTTTTCAGTGGCACCACCCCCGTACAGTTGCGACTACGAGATGGAATACTGTCCAGACTTGCCCCCTCCATACTCCCCAACCCCACAGGCATCAGTACAGCGCTCTCCACCTCCTCCTTACCCTGGAAATTCAAGGAAATAATCCTCCAGAACAGAATATGTGCCAATCAGTGACCTTCCCTGGAATCAACGCCTCTACTCAGAAATAGGCAGGAAAGGGTTTCCCTAAGGAAGGTGTTTTGGGTCAGCTAGTATTTGAGGCAGAATGTTCCCATGAAGAGATATGGGGTTCTGATCTTGCTCAGAGCTGTCCCCATCACTATATTTTAAGAGATTTACTGATTCACTTCAGCACATTTGAGAGAAGAGTAATGAGATTGACAGAATATCTGATAACCATGTTTTTTAAGGTCTATTTGAAGGAAATTTCAATATTGATTCTGGAAAAGAGAAGACTTACACAGAACAGAAGAATGGCCCAGGCCATACAAGGAAGCAACTCTATTCGACATAGCTCTGAAAGTTGGAACTAGAATGTTTATTCTTTCATTCATCAACAATGTGTAATGTGTGCCTGAAAGCCCACTACATGCCAGGCACTGTGTGGGGCATTGGATGGAAGTTTGAGGACGGAAACTTTGATTTTGGTTTTAAAAAAAGCAATTGGAGCTTCCTCATCAACTGGATCACTTTGTGACACTTCCCTACTACCAAGACTTCAGAATCCATCTAACCATCTGGTAGAGAAATACTCCAGAAGTGGTTTCTGCCTCAAGTATATGTGGGTCCCTTGCACCCTCAAAGCTCTGCTTATATTTTGCGTAGGTGTGAAGTGAATCTTTATCTCCTGGAGTGAAAACAACAAGACTGGTGAATGTTATTTATTTAACTTGAGAGCTAAAACAGGATCAAAGGGATTCTACAACTGCTTGAAACCAAGAACTCTTCGACATCAGCTACTGCCATCTAAAAATTATCTGGCCTTGGTCAATGAATTCAAAGATTTTCCAGCTGTGGCCAAAAAAAAAAAATTGTAGCAAGTTCCATAGGCAACATCCATAGGCAACAACTACTACGCTTCAAAGTAAAAGATGAGAAGTCAAATATCACCATGGGATTTCGTGTCAGGGAGCAAGATCTCAGGACTATCATGAAGTCTGTGCAAGCTTACAAAACAAAGAAAGGGAAGCGAAATTTGGGTTCCTGTCTTTGGAATTCCATTCAAATGTAGCTTAGACAATTTTTTCTTTCTCTTTTACAGAACTTTGATAATATATGCTACTGAAAAAAATATACACTTAATGGAAAAGGATAAGGTACTGACATCAGATTGTTGCCTTTTATCAAAATGCAAATTTTATGAAGTGCCTACCTTTATATATAAAAGGATTTCATAAATAATTCTTATGTGCCATATTTTGCTGCAAGTGATATTAATATTAATCTTTCTATGTGGGTCCTTACATGTGTTTAAAAATTGCATGAAAGAGGACTTCAAAATGTCAGTGGAAAATGGAGTTAAACAATATGCACATTTTCCATGAACTTTTTAAAGCCCCCATCCCTTTGTACTCGGCCTTGAAACAGATGATCAGATTTTTGTGTCACTTACAATTAAATCTAAAATATTTAATTCAAGATTATCATCATATTTAGTCAATATCATCAACAATTTAGTCAAACTGCAAGACAGTGCTCAGAATTTTGCTGAATAAAACAACCAAATAAAAATGCCTTGTTATAAATTATACTACCTAGAGTTGTGATTAGGAAACTTAATATGTTTCCTATTTTACTCTTAAAAATAACACTAAAAATAGAAATATGTTGATTTGACTGAAATATAGTCTAACTGTCTATGAGATCTAAATGCTAGATATGATTTGAATGACTTTCTTGATGTTCAGGCACTGATCATTTTCCTCCACTTGAAGATGCAAAGTATTCACAACTTCCACGCTATTCTAGTGAGGGACTCCCTGACTTACATGAAATTTCTAAGCACATTTTTATTAGTAGATATGTTTTAATTTATTTCTCCTCTGCAAGTGTGATGAGACTCACTTACACTGCAGCTGTGTTGCTCAAAGTGCCAGGGTCTCTGTGATGTTATTATAACTTTTTGTTGCAGATACACCATATATTCTTTAAGAGAAACTGAAAAGATCATGTTTATTATATGCCTTTTATGTTCTTCAAATACTACCCGCATAAAAGCCATTTGAGTCTATATCATCTCTTTTCTTAGAGTTGTTTATGGCTGCCCTGAAGGCATCTCACAAACCCATAGACCTATAAGGAATGAGTATTTTTACTATTTGTATTTAATGTCAGAATAATATAAACGTTCACGTTACCAGTATAGATTTTTGGATTTCACTGATTGTTTTCATAGATTATGTTCTTTGGGAGAAAAATAGTATATGATGTAAAAGCTTTGAATTATGATTATTTAAAAACTAACATATTTGCTGTGGCCAAAGTGTTTACAATAAGCAATAAAATTGAAGAACCATTATAGTAAAGGTTATATTTTAATTGTCTTGAGTACATTTTTTTCACCTCCATTCCTGCTTATTTAGCCACTTGTTCTGTATAGAAGGCATAAACTTTATTTTGAATCCTGTCCCCTGCCTGTGTGATTTAAGACAGGCCACTTTGTCTCTCTGATATTCAACTGGAAATGTAAAAAGAAAATGCATATTATTGGGTTTTGTGAAAATTGGATATATGCAAAATATATATGCATATTGAATATATGCAAAATTCTAAGTATAGAGTCTGGCATGTAGAATATATTCCATAAATAGGAGCCAAGAATAAATCAACAAATGAACAATATGTGAACAGTTTCTAGAACTGTGCTGTATAAGAGAGTGGTCCCCAACAACATAGGGGCATTTAAATTAATTACAGTTAAGGAAAAGTACAGTTTCTTTGTCATACTATCACCATTTCAAGTGCTGCATAGCTTTGTATGGATAGTGGCTACCTTGTGGATAATGCTGCTCTAGAGAAATCTATGTAAAATGCAATTAAATAGCAAGAAGTCATTGAGAATTCTCCAGGAAGAACTATGGACTTTGTCAATTGATTATGATGTCCTTCACTGATATGTTTGTAGACAGCATCGCTATAGAGGCAAGGCTGTGACCTGTGGGAACCCAGGAGCCATGAGAGACTCACCTTGGCTCTCTCCAAATCCAGGAGAGGGAAAGCTCTTGGAATGACTGAAGAGCTGTTGATAGAAGGCAGGCTCTGGATCTGGTGTTGGAGTGGGTGATACAGAATCGCAGTCTGTTTTCAGAATCAAGTCAATTCTGTAGCTGCCTTCTGCACTCTAGAAGCCATCACAGGAGTTTCCAGGGCTGCCCACATCTTCCTAAGGTACACCATTGTGCTGTGCCCTTCTGTTTTTTCATTATCCCATTCCTTCCTTACCCCCGAATAAAGGAGAGCAAGACTTACAGCATACAAGCACACTTTACTCTGTTTGTCCTTGTTTAGCCAAACTCATTTATTCCAAGCCTTGGCTGTAGGTGAAGTGGGATCTGGCACAATCCAGATGATACATTTAGCCTATCACATACTGAAGCTCTTGGTGCTATTTTTTTGAAAAAAAAAAATATTATTTGCGAGACAGAGAGCTCCCATCTGGTTCATTCCACAGATATGTGCAATACCTGCAGCTGGGGCTGGAGCCTAGAGCAGGGACACAATTCAGTATCCCATGTGGTTCACAGGAACCCATGACTTGAGCCATAACCATGCTTCTTGATGTGCACAACAGCAAGAACCTGGAGTCAGAAGACAGAGCCAGGAACGAAACCCAGGCGCTCAAATGTTGGACCTGGACATTTTCACTGGGATCTTAGTAGGTCAAATGGCTGTCTCCATTTTACTTTTCACCTTACTTGAAACAGCCAACACCAGAATGCCAAAGTCAAATGATCTTCAAGCTCATCCTGGAGGCTTCTCAGGGCTACCAGATCCTCAATTAGAGCATGCATGAATAGACAGTGTTTATTTCCTGATCGGTCTCAAGCTGCAAGGGTGAGTATGAGCTTGTCCAGTGTGTTTCTGTGGCGACACCACTATGCGGGATGTTTCCGTTCAAGTGCTGTAACTTTGAATAGATCCCCAGATGATTCTTATTCTACTGTTCTCCAACCCCGCCCCTAACTTTGACACCCTCTCATGCAGAAGAAAGAACCAAGACTTCAGGACAAGAGACAATTTGTTTTCTCTCTCATTTCTATCATTTTTAAACTAACTGTTCTGGTCCAACTTCCTGAATTTCCATAGTTTCAGTTTCATCGAAATGTGTGAATAGCACCACTCTTGCTAGGTTGTGGCAATGAATGCAAACACTGTATGTAGAACATACACAAAGTTCCTATCTAGGTTGGTGACTCAGACACACACAAATCTACATGCATATTCTCTTTCTAAACTTTGTGCTCCGCTCCCAAGCCTTCCACTTCTATAATCAGGCATGCCAAATAGCCACTTCTGTGTAACGGATTAGGGACTTGAAACACCATTAATTATCTCCATTTCCATAGATCTGAATCTGACATGGCTTATTTGGGACCACTGGCTCAGGAACTCTGACAGTTGGCAGTCAGCTAGGGAAGGCTCTGCTTCCAAACTCACGCCCACACTGTCACTGAGAAGATTCCATTCCTCCGAGGCTTTTGGCTAGAAGCTACCCCCAATTCCTTACCACATGCTCTCTCCTTAGGACACCTTCACTGGGGTCCATTTGCTTCCCCAGGGCAAACAAGCACTAACAGCCACAGAGTGAGAGGTGCTGGTAAAATAATGCTAGCAAGGCGGGAGTTGTAAGCTTCTGAAATCTCATCTTGGAAGTGCTATCCCATCACTGTTAACCATATTCTGTTTCTTAGAATCAAGACACTAGGTTCAGTTCACACAAAAGAAGAGAGGATTACATGAGGACACAGAAAGCCAAGTCAGAGAGCTTTCAGGGTCAGCATGTCAGTGTACCGTAACAAGGATATTTTATCTCATTCTCCTTAATCCATTATTTGGAGTTTGGGCAATGCAGAAAATAATACCTTCCCTCTAACAAGAATGTGCCAACTCAACAGCTGAAAGAAACCCAGCACTGTGTTTAGCTGTAATCAAATTGCCTTAATGGAACTGACAAGGGTAGAATGGAGCCAGCAACATTCAAGGGCCATGCCATGCTAACTGGATAAGTGCCACATTCCTCAGGAATATTGAAAACACACACACAAAGTTTGTATTTCTGATACACTTCATTTGTGAACTGCACTAAAGCACATCACACTTGGCAGGAAATGAAATACACCACACTTCACACACCTTAATGGGCAAGTCCTAACATAGTCCCAGTTTTAAACTTTGTTTCAGCTTTGTCCCAAGATATTTCATCTTCATCCAGGAAAGAATTCTGAGACAAGTTTCCAGATGAGTGTTCACTGGATCAAGTTGCTGCTTAACCTCATCCTGAATAGTTTTGCTAATGATGAAGAAATAGCAAATCCTAGGATACATAAGCCACCACGGAGGCCTGGGTTAGGAAATCTTGCTTTCTCTGGATGCATGATGGAACAACTGGTTACAAACGCTATTCACAGTCCTCCTCTTCTTACCCAAGCACGAGGCTGTGTCACTGCTGTTTCTAAATGTGACGAAGAGACTGGGGCATCGTTTTCTGAATGTCTGGTAGTAGATGATAAATGTATATGAGATCATGTATTGTTTCTGTAGTCTTAAAGATAGAAAATTTAATATTTTTCTGACTAAAATACAAAAACAATCATTTGATCTAATGTCCTGTTTTTGTGCATTCTTATCAGTTAATGTCTTGATTGTCACACAGTTTGTGTAACAACTTTCCTGTGGACTTGAAAGCAGTTCAGTGTTCAGAGCCCAACTCATTCTGCTTAACTTGTGAAAATTCATTTGGAGATCCTCTTCCCCCCATATCCCTCACTGCCAACTGAACCCATGCCAATTCCTTCCTTCCCTGCCTCGGAGTAGATAAGCCTCACATGTATTCTGTGGAAACTTTCCTTGACTTTCCAGATCCAGCCAAAGGGCATGTGCTCTGAGCAGAGAACATGAGTAGTTCTGTAGTCAGAATACATGATTTCCCTTCTTTATTTTGGACCCCTAATAGGTTTGTCACAGATTGGATTAAATATCTGTTTCCACTATAAGGTGGTTAGTTCTTTGAGAACAAGAACTGTCTCTTAGGCATTTGAATTCTCCAAAGGGTGCCTACTGGATATCTGAAACATGAAATGAATGATTATAATGAATGTCAAGAATTTGGGAAGGTGTTTATAGTGAATAGATTACTCTCAGCAGGGCTCATAATCCAATGTGTAGGTCAAAGAATGGACAAAAGACTGGAGTCTTACTGTTGTTTAATGAATGCCACACATTAATCCAGATACCAGTGAATTTTGTCATGAAGCACAGGATGAACACATGTCCAATATGTGGGAACAAAATAATAAGCCACTTTGGAACAGGTGCCTTTATAATTCTCCAGAATAAATTGAGTTTCTCATTTTTTTTTACATAAAAAAGATTCCAACTAATATCAGAAAAGAGATAGCCTTATAAATCACATTTCCGTAGAATGGATTTTAGGGTACTTTCAACTTCAGAATCAGTGTCCAAAGGAGTCAGTAAAGGCATTTTTACTAAAATAGCATGCTATAGTTTTTACATCAGTACTTCTTCAGGGAATGTTGAAAAATTACTGAATATTTTGAAAAGGCAAACAACTAAAACCAGTTGGAATGGACAATAAAATGGCAACTAGCTTTTGGCTATTATTATTTCATATATGGGGAGAGCAATCATGCAATTATCCAACTTCTAAAAAGCAGTAATAACTCTGTATAATTGATTCCCAATAGAATCATCCACAGGAATGTGTTACCTTCAATAATAACAACAAAATGTGTGTGTGTGTGTGTGTTCAAGCATTGTTCAAAGCAATTTAAATTTAATTTACATTCAATCATCTGCCAGCTTGCTGATGTGTTACCATTATCTCCATTCTTATGAATTAGAAACTGTAAAAGTGCCACTTCATAGTCTAAATTGTTTTTCTTTCAAAAAGGTAAAGTTTGAATGCTGCAAAGAAAAGCAGGCAAATTTACTCTATTTGTAAAAGAGACCTGCAGTGCTGCCTTCCCATGGACATGGACGCAGCCTTTCCAAGACTTGAGCTGCAAGTGGATGATTATGCAGGTTTGAACAGGCTCAATGACTCATACTCTTCACTTTGTCCCTCTGTTGTAATTAATCACTTAGCGTCCATCAATTCCAGTTTTTATGTACACTGTGGACAAGACAAAGAATGAACGGACTCTTTAATCTCTGGGACACACCTGGTCCCAGTGACCACCTTCACCTATTATCTCCCAAGTTGACTTTCACCTGCATATAAGAAACCACTATAAATTTTCCATGGATGCTCTATATATTTCCCTTTGACAATGATGAAAGAATGAGTCAGTG